ATGGCTTGGGATGATGAGGGTAAGAATATCGGAAAAGAGGGATTGCGGCGGGAAGATATGGCCTGCTGCTAAATGCGTTAAGCCTCAATTTTGGGAACAGTTCCAACGATGCTTAAGCGCACATTTCTGGTTACGCCAATGTTGCAAATGCAACTTAAAGCTCGGACTAAAGACAAAACGATGACGAAAGGGATCTAGTCAAGCTTTTATAGTATGTATGCCTGTAGTATTATTTCTGCTGCAGATGTTTGGCTATAACCGTGTTGTAGGCTATGTAAGATAGCAGCAGCTTTGTTAAATTCGCTACACATGCGCATATGTATTGATACAACTGATATATGCCGTATATCAGATGGCATTTTAGTTTGTATTACTTTTGCTCTTTCTTTTGTTGCGTCTTGGACGTATGGTGTTTCTTCCTTGCGATAGCCATTTTTTGTGCATTTAAGGTGCATATTGATTGATTTATCTGAACAAAAGATTCTGATCTTTTTCGAATACTTTATTCTACTTTATTTATTCACTTATTTTTTTGCTTGACATTCAGCTAGATAATGTTAACAATTTTACAAATGATCTGATAGTTGAAGCTTTTCGAAGCCATCAAGTGTACGTTGCATTCTTTCCTGTCTGTTAAAAATAGTTGTCTTTATAAATTGTGCTTTTGCTGACTATCTTGGAGCACTATCAGAAAAAAGGAAATCTTAAGCCCCCATGTAAATGCAAAGCTCCTCTTTGGACGGCTGCGGGTTTGCTGTTATGCTCCCATATTTTACCTCATCCGCCTTATTTTTGTTTTTTTAGACGTAGTATATCTGTTTTTGTGATGTCTAAGTGCTAAATATGTATATAAGGCACCTTTTTTTTTATTTGAGGAATTTCCGGAGAAATTCCTTTATTTTACTATTTCATATTGGTTTTCTTTTTTTACTTAATTATCCATTTTTGTTTCTATATTCTTCCTAGAGTACCTGCGGGCGATAGGTGTTCGAGTTCTCTGGTATGGTAGTGTGTTTTCATTGCTTATTTCTTTAGTTTTTTCAGGTATGCGATTCATCTTTGTGCTATCATTTACACTTCTTGTTGTTAATGCAGATCAGGAACATGAAGCGCATGGTTCTGCTAGTGCCAAATTTCGTTATGAGCACGAAGGGGCTGGTCATAATCAACATGCTGACCATAAGGCTGTTCTTGGTAACAGTATTAATTCAGTATATTTTGAGTTTATTTTGCTATATGTTCCCCTTGCACTGTGAATGAATTGAATCACATTTGTCTTGTTCACTTAACGATATCCCAGCGAATTTATCTGCAAACAAAACATTATGGGAAACGGTTTGGTAGTAAAAATGTAGTAAAAAAGTAGTAAAAATGTACTAAACTTAGAAAGGTATTTGATGTTTGAGGTACATCTGACGATGCTTTTCATTAGGTTCTTTGGTAATGATAAATTTTGGTATAAAATTGTTTGATTTAAACTTTGCTGTGCTCTATTCTTCTTTTTTTTTTTTCAGTTTCAGTATTGGTTATTTAGCCTACTTTAGGATCAGAAAAAACCGCTAAAGAGTTTGACGAATTAAGTCCAGAAGAATCACGTAGAAGGCTACGTATTTTAGCAAAGAAGATGGATATTAATCAAGACGGTTATGTAGATGAGAATGAACTTACTGACTGGATCCACCAGTAAAGCTTTTTGGGTTTTTTCCAGTCACTGTCAGCCCTACTTTTCTTTCATAAAATTTTCGGTAAGGATCATGAGGGACACTTATTTGTGAACTGAATTACGGCACAGCTGAAGATTTTAGATCAATGATTTCTTTGGATAAAGAAGAAAGTGATGAAAGATTTGAGGAGATGGATAAGGATGGCAGTTCAGGTGTAACCTGGAAAGAGTATATTGCTGAAGGGTTTGGTGATATCGATGAAAATCAGGTGTGTTTTTTTTTTTTGGATTTTAGTGAAATGGTTAAGGGACTTTTAGTATAAGGTTTATAAAGTTGGTTGACTTAGGAAATGGACGCTGAAGATAGAAAACTCATGGAGGAAGATAGGAAGTACTTTATTGCTGCAGATGTCAACGGTGATGGGATTCTTGATAGGAATGAGTTCGATGCTTTTCATGCTCCGGAGCATCATCCTCATATGCATGCAACTGTAGTTGAGGTATGAATTCTTTCTTTGTTTTAGTCGTCATCTAATGTTATCACTTCTTACGTGTAGCTGTGGTTTCTATTTTCTTTCATGTTTTTTAATGATTTTTTTTAGTTGACTTTGAAAGAAAAAGATCGTAATAAAGATGGAAAAGTGGACCTGACAGAATTCTTGGGTGACGTAGCTGAAAGTGAGGGCGCTGAATGGTATGAGTTGGAAAAGAGCAGATTTTTGGAGGAGTACGATAAAGATAAAAGCGGCTTTCTTGAAGGGGATGAAATCACTTCTTGGTTGATTCCTGACACAAGAGAAACAGCAAAACAAGTAAATTTCTAATTCTAAAGATTTTCTTGTTTTGGTGTCTTTTTATGTCGTGCAAGTTATTACGAAAGACGCAAGGAAACTGAGGAACCTAAGAAAGTGGAGTTCAAAAAAGGTCGAGAAAGCCTCAGTAGCTCAGTGTCGATGCAGTAAGTCGGGAAGGTTTACTGGATAAATTGGAGTTCTAAATAAAGTCTGAACATTGCTTAATTTTGAGAAGGAACAGGCGGCTACTCGCTGTATGACTGTTAAACTTCTGTTAAAAGTTTCCTTTGCTTGAAAGAAGCTGTATTTTTTTTAAAAGTTCTAGCTCCTAAACGAAACTGACGGAAACTGAGGCGGATTTATAGTTAGGATTTTTTTGAAGCACAGGATTTTAACGCTAGTCATTGTTTTTTAAAGGAGGCTGAACATCTGATCGGCAGTGCTGACAAAGATCACGATAAACGTTTGAGCATTGACGAAATTGTAGCGGAACATGGACTATTTGTTGGTTCAGAAGCAACAAATTATGGTGAACATTTGAACAAAATGGGACACGAAGAGCTCTGATTGTTTATTGGCTCGTTTATACACGAAAGCAATTTTATTAAATTGTTGTAGTGTTTTTTTACTTGAGAAAGCTAAATCTTTTTCTGAAAGTTTATGGTGCTAGTAAATTAGTACTTGAACCAATTTCTAAAATTATAGTGCCTTTTTGATTGTGGCTTTTATAGCAAATGAAATAGAGATGGCGTGATTTTAATTTTTCCTAATTGTGATTCTTAATTGCACTAGCTAATAGTCAGTAGCATTTAATTCTTTTTCATTTTTTTGAAAGTCACTTTGTTTCTTTAAACTCTCCTCGATGTTTTCTCGTTGCACTTTTGAAATCTATCTGCGGTTACTTGTTTGTGAGGGCCTTAGTTTTCTTATTAAAATATTTTTGTATATTTTTAATTACTACATGCATTTCTTTTTGTAAGAGAGGAGAGTGGAGGGCAGAGAATCTAAGAATACGAGACAACTTTTTATCGTTTTAATTTCACTTTTTTTGTTTTTTTTCAACTGACAGTTGCTAATGTTTTTAACTTTGACAGTTGCTAATGTTTTTAGCTTTGTCTGTTGCTTAGAAAATTGATGCACTGTTTGGTCATTGCATGGTGCTAATTTGCGGAGTTGAAACTTTATTCTTTATCTTGGCTAACATTTCACCTCAATTTATCTTATTAATTTACGGTAATGGAAGAGACATTTTTAGGTTCTTTCTTTTAGTTTTCAGAATAAGGAACTGAGCTGCATCAGCGTTTGTTTTGCTTACTAGCTCAGGATTGTTGTTTTCAAATTCCATGACTTCTAGGCGTAATGTCTTTCTAATTAAATTCAAATTGTGATAACAAAATTGCTGAAGATTCTTTGTAAACTGTAGTATCTTCTGTTTGCCATTGTCTCTGTGGAGACTGAGTCTACTAAACCATTAATTCTTCTAACACTAATTCTACACTGTTGAATTGATCAGTTGCATTTAAAAACTTATTGTTAGTTTATTCATTGTTATTTGTTATTTATGTTGCTCTGATTTAAAGTCGCTCTCAGTGAATGATAATGCTTAATTTCATTCTGAACCGCTGTGAAATTCAGTTACGTTGTTCAATTGTCTTTTTTTTTTTTGTTCATTGTATTTACTGTAACTAAACCGTTTTATCTCTGTAGTGTATTTTACATCTTTAATAAAGTAATGAGTTTGAAATTGGTCACATTTTTGTTGCCGCATAAAAATCACTTTTTTACGCGGTAAAATGCTTTATAATAACTTTATGGTTTTTTGAAGTTTTTGAGAAAAAGGTTCAAAATATAGTCTTATCTACGTTATTTTCAAGTATCTACAAGCGTTTGGGAGAATAATGAATAACTGCTGCATTTAGATTGATGTTAGGTCAACTGGGTAAGCAAACAAATTGAAGGGATTAAGTTTTCAGTTGTATTATAACTGAGGCTAGTTTTTAACGTTTTGTAAGTACTGGGTATTTTACGACAATTTTTTATAATTTAATGGCTGTGACTTCAGTTGAAACAAAAATAAGTGTCATTTGTATGGACATTGAGCAACTGTGAAAAATCTAAGAGAAGGATTGGATTTTTTTGCCGATTTAAAAGTTTTAATTCTTCATCAATGTAAGTTCCATTGAGCACGCTCTTCTGTTTACGTGTTCATCGTTGTCCAGTAAGCGTTTTTAGTTGCTGCAACAGGTTCAGAAATTGAAAAAATTTCTTATTTGTGGAGTTACTGGAATGTCTCTTCTCTGTTTGTCTTTCACTTGTCAAGTGAAGATTTTAATGATGCAGAAGAACGGTTAATTGAAAATAACAACATTTCAGGAATCGAGGAGGGATAAAAAACGATAGTAGCGTTGAAGTAAGAGTGCAGCAGGTGTTAAAAGTCAAAAAAATTGGCTATTTTATATCAGTATTTTAAATCTTAATAGCTTGTCTACAGACTGACATTTGGTACTACCAAATTTCGTTTTTTTAGGCTTTTAACATTTGAG